CTGCTTCTAGTAACACATTTTTTTACGTTGTTAGCTGTCGTCAGTGCGTTCGTAATCGTGGCAGCAGCGGCAGTTTGCATATCTCATCGGCTGTCGTCTGCAAGAGCGGTTGTAACCGCGGCAACCTTTTGGCAACTTGTGAATATCTACCATTGGCTGTCGTCTGCCGAGCGACTGGTAACCGCGGCAACCTTTTGGCAACTTGTGAATATCTACCATTGGCTGTCGTCTGCCGAGCGACTGGTAACCGCTGCGACTTGCTGACATTTCAGAGGAGGGAACGAGAGATGTAAAGAAGAACAGGTGGCGAGTGAGAGACAACCAGTCGTCGTTGTCGCTGGCAGGGGCGGTACCTGACCTCGGTGCAGCGCTGGGGATGCCCGAACTAAAGCTGATCAAATCCACAGAGAGGTCCGTGTGTCTGTGTGTCTGTCTGTCTGTCTGTCTGTCTGTCTGTCTGGCCATCTGTCTGTCTGTCCACCCGTGCATGCGTGCGTGCGTGCGTGCGTGCGTGCGTGCGTGCGTGCGTGCGTGCGTGTGTCTGTCTGTCTATCCATCTCTGTGTCTGTCTGTCTGTCCATTCTTCCATCTGTTGGTCTGTCTGTCTGTTCGTCCGTCCGTCTGCCCGTCCGTCTGTTCGTCTTTCCGTCCTATCAACCACCCGCCTGCTGCCTGCTCATAAAATGTATAATATAAATAAAAATTATATTCTTTGTTATATAATTGCTACCTCCTATAAAATCTTTTGTTAACATCTTGACCGATATACACTATTACAAACATTAATCTATTAACGTTAAACATATTAATAATTATACAATAATAATAATAAGCATTTAATTTATATTTATCATGATCATTGTTGACCGTTAAACGATTATTCATCGTAGGTTTTCCACGGGCGTAGCGTTGTTTGGGGCTAGCAGCGGTCAGGCTACCGCAGTGTCTGCAGCTCTGGTCAAGGCTAAGAAGGCAATGCTCTTCCCCACTACCTACTGGTGAGTGTTGCTTCGCGTACACATGCATATATATATATATGTATATATATTATATATATATATATATGTATATGTATAAAAGTAAAAATACACGGATACCCATGTAGATATAACAGTCATACAGTACATGCAGGAATATGCATCAGTAGGGCATATACCATCCAGCTGAAACAGTCATTATTTGGAGTACTTGTACATCATGTAGCATATGCAGTGTTCATATGGAGACTGAAGTATTATAGTATTTTATTCCACATCTGTTGCTCTCAGGGCGTTGACTGTGGGCATCCCAGCATTTCCTGCTGAACAGGAGAAAGTGTACATACGCATGGTTGAAGTTGGGAATATATATTTGGTGAGATTTTTATATTTTACTCTCTCTCTCTCTCTCTCTCTCTCTCTCTCTCTCTCTCTCTCTCTCTCTCTCT